CTGTGATCCCATGTTTAGTATCAGTATATGAATTGTGTTTTTGCTAATGGAAACATTCAGCAACAAATTACTATAAGATGCATTCTAGGCCAGTGGCCATTATGACCACTTGAATATCTATAGGCAGTAAAGAACAAGATCCAAGAAAACACAAGGCAGACAGTTATAAGCAGTGATGATGTTACCTAGTTAGATAATGGCATGCCTGCAAGCAAACAGCCAAGCCCAGAGAGCACCAATAAATCCACAGTTAACAATTGCTAGCTATTGCAATCCAACTGTGTGATATATTGAAGTAGAGCTCATGTTACTGTAGTAGGCCAAATTGTCTGGAGTGGTTTGAGAGAAGCATAATTTAGCAATTTGAAAAATTATCTAGTAAGTATTTTGCAAGTTTTTCCTTGCAAAATTTCAGTGGTGATTTTAATTATTTTGAAGAATAATTTGTGTCATGATACCATGTCCCATTCTTTTATTTCACTGTTTTTCTCATAATTAAATATATGTACTGAGTAATTTAGATTTCTTTTTACTCCATACATACTTCATCTTCATGCCTACCCTACTGCTATTCTATTTTGAAGTAAGCAATCTTATGCAAAGCAGAGTAGAAAAATAAGGAATAGTAAGGATCAGAAATTAATAGCTGAATCTCAGATTCTAGTTTATACCAATACTATACTTAAGCAGAGCTAAGAGTATTTGATATTAATTACTATGGGATGAGATACCTCATCCCCAGTTCTGAATCTGCCTTGCTTCAAAGATCACTCACTAACAACAATCATCCATATACCGGCACTCCATCAATTTAGCCAGATTTTTCTTTTTCCCCCTTTTCTTTTATTTGTTTTAATTTCTTTAAGATTATTATTTAGTTATTAGAACTAAAATATCATGAGAGTATCCAGCCCACTGAGGCATTAAAAAAAAAGGTCTGTATTAATTGTACAAAGAGACAGATAGGAAGGGCAAAAACAGAAATATAGTTGAATGGAAAATATCAAATAGAAGTAGACAACCTGAATATGTTATAATTCATATTTTAAAATATTTTATTATTGTATTATTTGGAAGGAAACCAAGTGAGATTATCCATCCATCCATCCATCCATCCATCCATCCATCCATCCATCCTTTCAATTTATGTGGCTTTCCATCTCAGATTTAAATTGATTAAATAAATACATTAGGAAAAAAGCAATTACCATTTGGTATTTTGCAGTTGCAAATGAAACTATTTTAGAGTTCAGGCATTATCTACATCAGGGGTGCCCAACTCCTGGGCCACGGCCCACTACTGGGCCTTGAACGGTTTGGAACCAGGTCGCGGAAGTGGCAGTTGAGTATGCACACGCAGATCCCCACTTGCATGAGCAGCATCTGAGTGCATGCATACATGCTCCACTTGTGTGAGCAGCATGCACGCATGCTCGCCGCTCATGCAGATGGAGCTACATGTATGTGTCTGCTACTCACCCATCCCCTCTCCCTACACCCTCCCCTGCCGGTCCGCAAAGCTGGAAAGGTTGGGGAACTCTGATCTACATAGTAGGTCTATTGCAAATTGGGTCTTAACTTCGTGCCCAGAGGGGGCTAGGCCATTGCCAGCCTATACTAGAGTAAAAAAGAGTGTTACATGGAGAGCTGTGAGGAAAACACAGAGCTTCTTCAGGTTAGTAACAAGTGGCAGAGCATGTGGTGATCTTTTGTTCTTCGTTATGCTACTTTTTTCCTCCAACATGAGAAGTTAGAAGCAGCATCATCATCTTTCAGCACACCCTGCTAAATGTGAATTAGGAGAACAGGCAACCCAGCACAAGGACAGAATGGTGACTCTGCCAAGCAGTAGGGACAGGGAAGCACTCCTGACTTGGTCTCTGCTAGTGGAAACCTGATTGGCCCTGGCCTGAGCTGTGATGACACCTTGATGCAGAGTTAGGAGATGAGTAAATATGGGATTCAAATGCGTGAATAACTGGTTCTCTGTGTGGATGCCACTTCCGGAAGCCCATTCTGGGCCTGGGCAACAAAAAATTAGCTACCAGTTTTGCCGAAGTGGTGTGAACCGGCTGAATTCCACCACTGAAGTTGTTGCCCTACTTTGGGCCATTGCTTGCCTCCTCTGTTTGTCATTAAGGAGCAAATCATCCAAATACTGCTTGTGAGCTGTGAGTGAGACCCCTGTCATAAAATAATGGGTGTTCATTTCTTCAGAGAGTCTAGTTAGCCTAAAATTCCTAAGTATTTATTTATATATATTTTATTGATTTTTTTTAAACTAACAACCTGATGCTTTGTAAACAGTATGTTGTCTGGATTCACATTTCACAACAATCAATAATAGTCAATTTCTATCATATCATACTCTACATAACAGCTTTCCTTGATTTTCTCCTCTTCCCATATTGTTCTCTTTTGCAAACATTAGGTTAATACAGTTCTTAATATTTTAGTAACAAAGAGGTTAGATATAAACATTTTTCTAACATTTATCCAATTAGTAATAACATCAATATAGAACTTGTTTTCTAGTTAGTCCTCTTGGTTGCATTATATATCCTGTTTTCAACATTCTCATTTAGACCTTTTCCCCACAAAATTAAAATCATTTTTATCTGTTAAGATTTTCTCAAAGTTGATTTAGGGTTCAATATCTGAGCTGTTTCCCTCACAATAATCCTCCCAACAATTACATTTCTCATATCATAAAAAAAAATACAATACTACTCAAAATAAGAAAGAAGAAAAAGAAAAACATATCTCTCTCAAACTAGAATTCATTTATATCCCCCATTTTTTTCATTTTTTAACTCTATTCCATTCGATATTTATTAATTAAGTAATCCATGTTATATTTTAATCATATTAAAACAAATGCTTAATCTTTAAAAATTGCTTCTGATAGGTCCAATCTTCTAATCCAGGGGTATCAAACTCAATTTCACTGAGGGCCGCACCAGCATGGTGGTTGCCCTGGGGGGCTGGGGGTGTATGGCCAGAGTGGGTGCAGCCTACTGGGTGGGCATGGATGGAGTGGGTGTGGCCTACTGGGTGGGTGTGGCCAGTTCTACATCATTCATGTCAAATGTGCCTATGGGGGCCTGGGCAGGAGTGGGATAGATCTGAGGGTCTCTGGCAGAAGGGGGTGGGACCGGGGCAAGTGCCAAGGCATGGTCCACCGGGGCAATTGACAAGATGGCCACCACAAAATTGTACATTGGCTCCCGGCTGGCCTGGGCCAGGGCCAAGGCAGCGGGGGCCATTCCCTCACTGTTTCCAGGATGGCTTTGCGGGCCACATGAAACCACTTTGCAGGCCACATCCGGCCCCCGGGCCTTGTGTTTGACATGTCTGTTCTAATCCCTTGAATCTGATTTTAGGCTTTTTCTTTCACCAAATGGCTTTTCTCATCCATCTATTCCACTTAGTTAAAAGTCTTGCCATTTTCTTGTGGATGTTGTTAAGGATGGGAGAGACAAATCAGTTAAGATGTTGATTTCTTTCTTTTTTTTGTCAAGTCGTAGATTTTTTGGTGTCTCTGTAATCCATTTTGTCACGCTTTTCTTCTTATCTTGTTTTGTGATTCTGGGGTGTGGACTATCTCTTCCAGTTCCAGTGCTTCAGTCATGTCTTATATGTTTTCCTCCATCTGTGTTAAATCATAATTCCTTCCATTGGTAGATTCTTTCATTTTCTGAAAATTCTTGTGTTGTGAGGTTAACGTAAAGATATGTCCATTTATGTCATCAAAGTTGTTTTTAATTTCACTGTGGTTTAGAGCCATTGTTGTTTGGATTAGTTGCAACATAGTGAGCATTTCCTCCTGGAAAGTATTTGGTTTTTCTTGACAAGTTCTTTTTGCAAGCTCTTGAAATTCCATAATAGCTAGAATTCATTTTTTTTTCTTTCTCTGAAAACAGCTTTAAAGTCACAGTCAATAGGTGTTTATCATCCAGGAAGGTCAGTTATGTTTTTTCAATTATAATCTTTGCTTATTGTGGCTGGCCCAGAATGTTTAGCTCTTTTTAAAGATCAAAGAAGTAGGTTATCTGATTCTGGGCATCCTGCCAATACTTATAAGAAAGCAGCTAAAGTTATATTCTCTTCTACCACTAGATGTCAGCAACAATATGTTTTTGTCCTCCTTAATAATTTAATTCGCTGCTTTCTTCCGTGGGAGGGTGAAGTAAAGCTCCCCCTCCTTTCATTTTCAGAGGCTTTTTTGCTTCTTGGGGTATCTTTTCCAAAAGTTCAGGCTATAGAGTAGGAGAGAGAAGATCAAATTTCTGACCTAGTTTCAGCACACTGTTCACCGATGTTATAGTGTGTACTTGTGGACTTTGGCTGCAAGTAGCTTGGGTTGGTTACCGAGGTAGGGCCAACCTTTCTTCTGTCAGGTTAGAGGGAATTTCCTGATCGAACAGGACAACCACCATCATTCCCAAATCGCTGGGTGCCCCTCTTTCTTCACCGCCTCTTTGGGGCGGCTTTAGACTCATTTAGGTTCCCCTGGCAGAGTGAAAAGAGCCGCGGGAAGCAGAGCTTTTGCATTCCTGCGACCGTGCACTACAAGGCAAAACCGAAAGTCCCTAAGTAATAATTTAGCTTCCCTCACTGCATGCAAATAGAATGTCATTTACTAATGCAGTTTCACTACTTTTGCTATAAATGTTCAGTCTAACAAAACTGATAAAATGGAAATGAGTTTATAATCATTATAAGCAGATAATGCTGATGTTACTGTCTGGAACTATAATAGTTAAAGAGGCATGGGAATAAATATAAAAAGTCCAAGGCTTTCCCAAAATGCTAAAAGCTCTTAAAGTTGCAACATGCTCTATTATTTATAAAATAGCTGTACTTTCCATTCAGTTAAACAAGAAGGGATTCCTGGTCATCTGCTTTAGAAATTAGCAGAAAATCCAAAAGGTATAAATGGATGTTTGACACAATGCTTCCTTTGGTATATAAATACTGTCCTTGTCCTTTTGTTGCAGAAGATGATGTATCAAATGTACAAATCATGTGTGCCTGGTGCCAGAAAGTGGGAATCAAACGCTATTCTCTGAGTATGGGGAGCGAAGTGAAATGCTTCTGCAGTGAAAAATGTTTTGCAGCTTGCCGGAGAGCATACTTCAAAAGAAACAAGGTAAGAGAATAGGATTGTAATGCATGCACAATCTGATCCTAAACAATAATTTAAATAGTATTTTAAATAGTATGTACAGTATTTCTTTCTTCTCTTCTCACCCTTTTCAATCCTGTTTCTCAGCATTTCCTTCTGAGCTACCAATACGTTTAATAAAACATACCATATCAGTTGCTTATCAGTTAGGCATTTTACACAGGTAGTCCTTGACTTACAACCATTTCTCCTAGTGATCATTACAATAGCACTTAAAAGAGTGACTCATGACTGGTTTTCACATGTACGACTGTTGCCGCATCCCCATGGTCATTGACCAACATTCAGCCACTTGGCAACTGGCATGTACTTATGACTGTTGCACTGTCCTGGGGTCACGTGATCACAAAATCAACGGAGAAGCCAGATTTACTTAACAACTGTGGCAAGAAAGATCATGAAATGGGACAAACTCGCTTAATAATTGTGTTGCTTAGCAACAAAAAATGTTTGGCTCAGTTGTGGTTGTAAGTCAAAGACTACCTGTATTCTTATAAGGGCCAATGTATTGTCAGATAAAGCTATTCATGCTGGATTATATAAGAGCCACACATATTCTAATTACATTTACAGTCTTGTAAATCTTGTTGCCAATACTGGTAGAATCTTAAAATCAATGATTTCAAAGCAGCAGGAATACAAATCTTATTCAGAGGTATGCTAGATTACATTACTAAAAAATGTGTTGCTTCAGCTGACAACAGGATTAGAACATTGATTCTGAGGGCTTTTGTAATGACTTGAGTTGACTGAAATTTATGTTTTTCTCTCATTAATTAATTTAGCACATTTTTAAACATTTCATACATTTTTGTTTATTCATAACTAGTCTAGGGACTATTCTGAAGTATGTAATATTTCATTTTGCCTTGAACTGAAATGCAGGTTTAATATTCACTAATAAAACTTATGTTTTAAGGTTTATTTAAAGCAATGGGAATAGCTTTCATTTACATATAGTTAGAAGCCAAGGGTTTGAAATAAAATTTATTCTACTTGCTATAACCAATATTAATAAATGATGAGGCATCATTTATTAGTATAAAGCATATATAAATGAATAATTGAATCAAATTGCATACCTTTATTATTAGTATAAATTTGATTTGTAATTGCTGCAATCAAATTTTTATGGACCCTGTAATACTTTGATAGAAGCTTTAATTGTATCTCAATGTTTGTCGTATCTATAATCGCGAGATCACTCTGAATTTTAATTGTGTTTACTGATAGTGGACATCAAAAGAGCATAAAGCAAATATATTAGTCTGTTGAGGTTTTGATACTGCTCTTCAATTAGATTTCCAGAACAAGTTACATCACAGAATGACCAATCAAAGTAAAAATAATGAAGTAATGTAATGAAAAAAAAAATACTTTAACACAATCATTAAATAAAAGGATTTCTATGGAAGGGCTATCTGAGCTGGGCTGCAAAAATCTATTTGATCATGAGATGTCAGTAAAGAGAAACAAAAAAATTATCTGACTGCTCTCCATTGATTGTCAGGGTTTTACAGTCATTGAAGAGCATTAAAAAAAATTCCAAATACTAGGAATATTTGTATATTTGAAATTAATATTGAAATGATATTTAAACATATGTTGTAAATAGTGTTCAAACTGACTTTAAATAAAGTAGGTAGACCAGAAAATTACAGTAATCAAATCTAAAGGAAATGGAGTTAAATTTTAATTATATCTTTTGAAGGGAGGAATGAAATACGTTTGAAAAATTAAATTGAAAATATAAAAATAGAAATATTAAAAGATAATTGCAATTTACTGTAAAACTGCTGATTTAAAAGCATTAAGTAGAATGCAGTGAAATAAATAACAAGATTTTCCAGGTATCCCAACCGTAAAGCCCTCTTTTTTATTTTTTTAATCTGTAATTCTGGTTTATGATTGTAATAAAAAAATCTTCTTCTATTCCAAAGCATTCTTAATAAAATCAGGCCCTATGCTAGCTGTTTGAAAACATTTTACATAAGAAAGGCTGTTAAATTATTTGAGTTCACTTTACTCTTGTTCTTCAAGCTTCTTTTAAGAGCTAATCCCTTTCACTAAATTAACCAGTAATATGTCACTTTCTCAAACACTAAAACAAATCAATAAATAACTTTTTAAAAAAGCAAATGGAAAGCAAGCCATTGTTTAATTCTACCTTTTGCTCCATAACTTTCAAACACCATTCTTTTCTTAAATTTAATACTTACAAATTGTAGTTTAAAAATACCTCAGGAATCAGATGAAAGAATTAGTATCATGAGCAATTTAACCTTCTTGTGCTTGCATTATATTATTTTGCCGGAAGTATTAAATGCATGCAGTTTTTGCTTTTGGATCCATGTAGGTAGATATACACAAATTTTCAGTCTATTCCTAGATTAAAAATATTCCCACTGTGTTTGATCAGATAGGTGTATAATTGAGTTTTGAGATAATGAGAATTAGATTATAAAATATAAAGGACAGGATGCAAGATGCCCTGATTAAAATTACTTTTCATTAGGAGATTTAAAAAAAATTAATTTTACGATATGAGTGGAAACAATCTCACTAGAGATATTCTACGAAGTGGAACATTTAATAACGAAATATTTCCTGAAGCCACTCTTTATGTGTTTGTTTATTTATAACATTTGTATGCTGCCCAAGTCCAGTTATCGGCTGTTGCAAATATTGCTCTTCTGGGAAAGGTGATCAAGAAAATAGCATCATCATAACCTCAGAAACATTTTCATGATGCTACTCCATTTGAACAGTGGCTTTGGCAAAAACATTAGCACTAAAATGTATTGCCTTAGTGGAGGGTGTGAATGAAGCACTGAGTAGAATTCATTGCCATTCCCCATGGTGTCTTTTTGGATTACCTGGCTGGACTTGTGGACCCCGTGTTACAGATTAAGTATGTAGGTAAGTACAGTTTATTGTTGACATTACATGTCAACAATAAATGCATAATGCAGAGAATGAGAGAGAGAGAGAGAGAGAGAGAGAGATAAAATTTTAGCAAACTTACATTTTGTCCAAAGTTCCACTATAGCTACTCCTTGACTTACAACAGTTCATTTAATGACCATTCAAAGTTACAACGGCACTGAAAAAAGTGACTTATGACCGTTTTTCACAGTTACGACCTCCAACATCCCCTTAATCATGTGATCAAAATTCAGATACTTGGCAACTGCTTCATATTTATGATGGTTGCCGTGTCCCAAGGTCATGTGATCACCTTTTGCGGTCTTCTGACAAGCTAAATCAATGAGGAAGCCACATTCACTTAACAATCATGTTACTAATTTAGCAACTGCAGTGATTTACTTAACAACTGAGGCAAGAAAGTTTGTAAAATGGAATAAAACTCACTTAACAAATATCTCGCTTAACAACAGAAATTTTGGGCTCTGTTGTGGTCGTCCGTCGAGGACTACATTAATGTGACTAAATCCTGTGTAAAACTAGCCCCTAGAATACAACCTAACTAAAGATCTTGAAGGTTTGATTGCTACATATTTTAAATTGTTCTGATTTTAAAAGACAGCAAAATAGAAATGGCCACTTGATTGCTAATATGAGAGAAGACATCTGCTAGTAAAAATTCTACCACTTTGCAATCCATGAAGTTGTCAGTAATTTGGCTGTGTGCTTTCGTCTTAATCACATCATAAAAAGATCAGCATAGGACATTGAGGGCGATGTTCTCCATCTGTCTCTGGCCATAAGGGCAAAAATGCTACTCATTCTGTGGAATTTGCTTTCAAGGAAGGAAAGAGAATATCATTTAGAAATGTATTTTGGTAAATTAGGCTACTTGTCAGATTGAACAGGTACTGTATAGAATCTGTTTTCCTTAAACTGAGGATACCAAAGGGAGAACCTTGAGCTTTAGATGAAGACTACGTTTCTTCTTCCAGAGCCAGTCATGCATCTTTCACTATCTCAGGGTTTAATTCCTCTTGAGTGGCATTCGCAGTATTTAAGACTGCACATGTCCTCCTGCTGATTTCCTCCACAATAAGGCCAATAAGAAAATCCAACTAGATAGCAAATAGTCATCTGGGAGGCTAACAGGTTTCTTAAAATGTTTAACAATTTTAGGTGAGTTTTAATAAACTTCAGAACAGTATCATCTCCATTCTTAGGTGTGCAGCAGGCATTAATTTGACTACATTTACAGCTGAGCAATACTGTTCTGATTCCAAATCTCTGTCTTACACAAAATCTGTGGAAATACTTCCCCTTACATTTTGAATGTAACGATAATTAATTGTCTTTTTTCTGGAGTAGAATAATAATCAGAATCATATAATTAGGCAGTTGTTAACACTGTATTTAGGTATACCTTCAGGGATAATGATAAAAATAAATGGCCAAATATTTAAAGGAGGGGCATTGTTTTATTGTAAGGCATTAATTGATCTTTTTTCTTTTTGTATTGTTGTGACCTCATCTTACCACTTTGGTTTTACTGTGTGTGGGTTATCATCAACATTTTTGTCTTGGCAGTAGTCAGTCTAACGTTCTTGATTTTGAAACATAATATGGCCACCGTATCATTAACATTCATACATCATGATGAGTACCTTGCATCTAGCAAGTAAAATGGGAAAATGATTATGAATTCAAGCTGGAACAATATCTTTAATGTAAAAATTGAGCAAGAAGAAAGTCCTGACTTGTCTCTTTATTAAAATAGGGTAAGAGAAAATCCTGTTGGGACATTTTCTGGGCATATATATTGGTTCTCTCAAGCCTTTCCCCAAACCTAAAGAAAGCAATGAAAACATAGCTGGGGTGAAATCAATAAATGCAAATGAGTGCAAATGAAATCAATAATATATTTTGAATCAAGGCCTTCAAAGAAATGAAGTAATTGATTATGTTATGATTCTTGCAAGATCCTACTTACTCTAAGTAGAAGATATTAGGATATTATGCCCAGTCCTCCAGGTAATAAA